ACTTCCTTCCCCCCACCTCACCCTCTCCCATGTCCCCCCGGAACTGTCAGTCCTGTTGTTTTCTCCTCCAGATTGTTCATCCAACCTATCTTATTTATTTTATTTATTTATTTTTTCAACCTATCTTATTTAGACAGACCTGCGGAGATAATAACCCGAAACGAGGCTGGCAGTGTTGGGGATGGAGATACGCGAGGAGTCACTAGATACGGACAAGCTAGAAGCTGTAGGACTTGATGAGGTGGCCCTGCCCGGAGCTGGTGAGGGCAGCTGGAGCCAGGGTGGTGAGCAAGCCCCATACAAATGTGGAATGAGCATCACCCAAGAGACCCTGCGGGAGAGTGTTGGAAAGATAGGGCGATTCTGTCCTGATTTTAAAAGGCTGTGTAATGCTGGGCCCTCCTGTACCCTCCTTCTCAGAAATAGACCAGGCAGCTTTAACCTTGCCACTTTGTGGTTCTGCAGACCCTTCTGAGAAGCCTTGGTGGTGTAGTGGACTATATGTTGAGCTGCTAACCTCAAGGCCAACAGTTCAAAACCACTAGCTGCTTCACAGGAGAAAGATAGGGCTTTCTATTCCTATAAAGATTTACAGTCTCAGAACTCCCTGGGCCAGTTCCACCCTGTCCTGTGCTGTTGCTGTGTGTCCGAGTGGACTGATGACAGTGAGCTAACCCCTCCAACTGACCTCAGCACACCCCTCTGCCTCCCACCTGGCTGTTCAGCCTGCGGGGTGCTCTGTCTTGGGTACGTGAATCGGAACAAGTCTGTTCTTGAGCTGTGTGGTCAGTGAGGGAGAGCAGCCAGTCAGTCAGCAGTTAGAGTCCCTAAACCACAGCAGGTGCCGGGGCAGAGAGATGGGCAGGGTTCCACAGGGCAGAGAGAGGGAGCTGGGTAGTTGTCCTGGGCGGGTGTGGCCAGGAAGACCAGTGACCCTTGTTCTGAGTTTGGAATGAAGAGAAGGCAGAAGTGGGTGGAGACAGCATTCCACACACATTGTGGATCTGGATGACTGAGGACCAGCATGCTGTGGGTGGGGGTAGGGGGCGAAGTCAGGAAGAAGGTAGACAGGGCCAGCCCATGCAAGCTAGCAAACCTGGCCAAGGAATGTGGACTTTGCTCTGATGGCTGTGGGGGGTAGAAGTCACCTCATGGGGCTCACAGGGTTCACATCGATCCCCTTTTAATGTCTGAGTTACTGCTTTCACGATGTTGATGCTAGACAGATTTATTACATTCCCAATAAACAGAACAGTCCCCCAAGACATTAAAAAACAAAATTCCCACAGTGCAAGACCTAAAAAAAACCCAGACCCCACTCAAAAACTATTAAGTAAATAGTCAAACACACACACACCAAATACTCTAGCATGCGCATAGATAAGTTTACAAAATAATTCGCAAGCTTGGTATAATGTGCCTTTACACAAAATTTAAATAATTTTCTAATATTTCTGCTGTATGAAGCAAGAAACCATTTTTTTAACCTTATGACCTGGTTGTAGTCGTTAGGTACTGTCAAGTTTGCCCGCACGCACAGAGACTCTGTGCAAAGAAAGGACACTGCCCGGCCGGGGCTGCCCCAGCTCACAGTCGTGCTGTGTTGAAGCTTCCTTCTGTGGCAGCCCCTGGCCCATCCAGCTTAAGGGGCTTCCTTGTTTCCCATCACGCTCCTCTGTCCCAAGCATGGGGTCCTTCACCCATCCTGGCTTCTCAGGAGAATTCTGGCTGTGCTTCTTCCAAGACAGACCTGCTCATTCTTCCAGCAGGGAATATTCAGTATTCTTTGCCATTGCCTATTGCCATAGAAGCTCTACATACCGGAAACAAAAGTTTCATGAAATGATTTATCCTTACAATCTACCATTTTCTCTTCTACTTCACTGCTGTTGGCGTTTATCTCAACATACAAAGCCGATTTCACGACCTGCTAATAGATTAATGACTCTCTGGGTGGTACAAACGGTTTATCCTCAGCTGAAAGGTTGATGGTTCACATCCACTGAGGAGCCTGCTGGAAGAACGGCCTACTGGTCCGCATCTGGAATAGCAGCCATTGAAGGCTTCCGCACACACGTCTGCTCTGAAACACTTGGGGTTTCCTCGAGTCACAGTTGAGTGGATGGCAACTAAGTTGTCGTTGTTGTTTGTAGTTAATGCCCTTTTTCTTAAACACTGAATTAAAGCAACACACAGACTTTTCCAGAGTCACACAGAATGCTTACTCACAGAGGGACGTTCTGTGTCCGTCTGACAGAATAAGGCTGCAGGGAACTCTGGTGTACAGGCCTCTGTTGGAGCCCTGCCTTCAAGTCTTTTGGAGATGACCCTCCGAAGGAGGTTGCTGGGTCATAAGGGGGTTCTGAGTCATAAGGGGGTTCTGGGCTTTGGCTTTCCAAGACCTGTCTGACAGTTGTCCACAGGAGCTGAACTGTTAGTGGAAACACTCTGAAGGAGGAGCCGAGCCAAGCAAGGCGTAGCAAAGGGAGAACTTTATGATTGTGCTAGCACACAGCTCCCTGGATTCCTTTCCAAAGACTGAGCCGCGACCTGACCTTGGGGAGGGCCCCGCCAAATAGCAGTGGGACCCTTGGGGCATTTCAGGAGGGGCCCAAGGAGGTGTGCAGAGTTAGGCTTGGCCGATTCAAACCAGTGGTGGAAAAGGGTGGAAGAGTAAGTAAAAGCAGTTTATAGAAACAGAAGTTAATGTAAGTATTGGCCCTATCGTTTTAGCCTTAACTCTGAGGCCTTGTTCTCTCCTGGACTTGAGGTGGCAGCTATACCAATGGCATGAGATTGTAGTGGTCTTTGTGGAGTGTGGTTCCTGTCTGATAGACCAGAACTATTTACAAGAGTAGACAGCCCAGTCTTTCTCCTGCGGAGCTGCTGGTGTTTCTGAACTGCCGACCATGTGGATCGCAGCCCAGTGCTTATCCACCACACCACCAGGGCTCCATCCCACTAGCCTTGTTACATGTTATTTCAGGACGCGAAATAACCTCCTTAGTCCCGAGTGTCCACGCCCTTCCAATGTCATCTTAATTCCCATCCCACCCTTTTCTGCTCGCCAGGCTCTCTGGGAAGTGGGGACTTACTAGTTTTGCATTCAGGTCTGCACAACTGGCCTCCATTCACTCTTGTCATCAACGTCCATCTGCACTGCACCAACTGCTCTTCTCTTATCTAAACTATCTGCTGCTTTACTGTGAGAACGTATGAGGCAGACACTGCCTGCTTCCCATCGGCCTTTAGTAAGTGTTTCCTGTCTTCTGGGACAACCCTGGAGAAACCATGCACCTTCTCTCCCCTGCTTCATTGTTCTTGCTCTTCCCTTGTGCCCGAAGTGTATCTGCTTCCAGTAATTTCTATAACCACTTGAGCTCCAACAGTTTCTTCCCCCAAAACTCCAGGAGTTCGTGTGGTACCCAAGTGACAGAAGCGTACACTCTCCCTCTATCTGAGGGCAGGGTGGCATGGTTATGGGGACCCAGGGGTGTTTCCCTTAACAGGGCCACTTGTGTTAACAGGTGTTGAGAGGCTGCCAGCCGTTACAGTGAAAAAATGTGGAAAGCCATAGGGAATTTAAAGAAAAATGGTTAGAGACTATGAACAAGAAAATCCTAGTAGAAGAAATATCAACAGTTAATCTTAAGTGTTACATCTTAGCAGTAATGAAAAAGTATTAAGCAAAGGATGCCATCACACTCACAAAATTAAAATTTCTAAATTAGGCAAAAGTACTTTAAAACGAGCATTTTCATATATTACTGGAAGAAATCTAACAGGGTCTGGCATTTGTAGAAAGCAATTCAGTACTACTGGTACTTGAAAGCTTTCAATTTTAAAATATTTTGACTCAGTAATTTTATTCCTAGGACTCTGCCCTAAAGCTACTAATTTTGAATGAAAATGAAATATTGGCATAGTGGTAATTGTCATCGTGTCTGTTATACGAGGGGGAAATGCTAGGGATAATTTAAACACCTGCAAATGAGGAAATGCTTCCTGAAGTGGAAGATTATGCAACCATGAAGAATATTTTTGAGACCCATATGGGAAGACACCCAAAGATTAGTAATGATGCTGTACTCACGTGGTTGCTGTTTGCCTACAGAAACGCACCCGTCTAACTTGAAAGGAGGCAAAACAAGTGATCTCTGAGTGGGGGGCTAGCGCTGACCACCTGCCCCTGTGCAGGGAGAGTGCCTATTGCACACACAGCTCTGGGTTCTCTTGTCCACCGGCTCTGTGGGTGGCCTCTGAGAAAGGCAGCGTGGGAAGCATGATGCTCCAGAGCACAGGCCTGGGAGTCAGGCAGGCCTGGCCTTCACTGCAGCGCTTCTATGGCTTGGGCTGTGTAACTTACCTAAACTGCCATTTCCTCAACAGCACAACCGGGCACTTAATTCTTAGTGTACAGAGCCATCAGGATTAGCCAGGACCATTTCTGTGGTGGCCTGGTCCCCACATAAGAACTCAGATCATGTGCCCCAGGCCCCTCTGTAGTGTCCTGCTTTCAGTCCTGTCCCTCCTGCCTATGGAGAACGGAACTGTGTACCATCGATGAAAGTCGAGGAAACAGTCCCCCAGATCATTCATTGTTTGTGTTCACGGTTTGGATAAGTAATCAACCCCCTCCCCTCACCCCAGGCCCATGATTATGGACTCAGTTCCAAGTCCTGGCTACCCATGTGCTTCTGAGAACTGTGTTCCACAGGGTTTTCCTGGCCGTAATCTCAGACAAGCAGATCACCAGGCATGGGTGGGTACATGGTTAAGGTGACCAGATTTTAACAGTGGTAAAGCGGGATACCATTGATAAAACTCATATCCTGGCAAAATAGCCACATGGCAGTCAAAAACCGTATACCCTAGCTTGTCGTGCATTCTTTCCAAAAATCGGGACTTTTTAAAAATGCCGCGGGATGCGGGGAAATATTGTTAAAAATCGGGACTGTCCCGCCAAAAGCGGGGCGTCTGGTCACCTTATGCATGGTGTTACACTGGGTGGATTTGGACTGGCAGCCTTTTGGTGTATAGCCCAGAGCAAACTATTTGCACCACCCAGTGACCTTCTTGCACATAGCTCACTGCCCATTCTGACTCAACAGTGACCCTATTGGACCAAGTAGAACTACCCCCGTGGGTTTCCCAAACTAACTCTTTATAGGACTAGAAAGCCTCGTCTTTCTCCCACTGAGCAGCTGGTGGTTTCAAACTGCTGACCTTGCAATTAGCAGCCCAATGTATAATGGAAGCAGTTGCTGTTGTTTTTGTCCCAGAAGTCAGAGAAGAACAATGGCTTTCTGTATTTCTTTGCTTGATGGGAAAGGTATTTTCCTGAGTGTGAACTAGTCACTGGGCATCTGTGAGGCCATTCCGCAGCCTTTATTTTCGGGTCTGGGACTGGCTCTGTTTCTGTGATTGCAGGTAGCCCACCCCATGCACAGTCTTGCAGTGAGCCAGTGTCTTGCCCACCCCCACCCCCTAATCCCCTGGAATGTTGCCTCCCACCTGGGAAGATGCACACCTGTCCTTGTTCAGGAGTCTTCCGAAGGCCTTGAGTTTAAAGCTGCTCATGAGTCGCTAATTTGTAGGCAGTAAGTTCAGTTGTGCACAGCCTTAGTACTTTATCGGTACCTCGATCACTTTTCAATACAGTACTGCTAAGGATCTCGCTTTAATGTATATCCTCAAGTGAATGCTTTCTCATGACAGGTTTTTTGTTTTTATTTTTAATTTTAGCTACTGACCTGCTTCTTGCCTGGAATCCCATTTGTTTGGGGTTGGTCGAAGGTGTGATCGGGAAAATCCAACTTCATTCAGGTATGTTTCTACACACACATTTAACATGGAATTCTAGAAAAGCTTCCTCTTTGAGAATAAATGTGCCTTACCTTTAAACCAAACACAGTGCCATCGAGTTGATGCCGACTCATAGCCACCTGAGGGGACAGGGTAGAACTGCCCTGAGAGCTTCTGAGACTGTCATTCTTTATGGGAGTAGAGAGCCTCATCTTTTTCCCTTGGGCCTGCTGGTGGTTTTGAACTGCTGACCTTGCAGTTGGCAGCCCACCCCATAATCATCACACCACCAGAGCTTATGGGTCTGCCTAAAGGAGGTATATTTTTGTTGATATATCATTAAATAAAAAGAAAAGCTTTAGAGAAAATGACACATAGCAACACAATCATTTATTTAGTTTCGAAATGCGTTTATTAAATGCCTACATGATATTTGATAAAGAACAGACCCATTCCCATCCTCATGGGGTTTAATGGGCAGCAGGTATTGATGAATATATCACCAAATAAACATGTAATTATTTGGTTATGTTTTTTAAAGAAAGATACCGAATGAGATGATTCCAGGGGAGGGAATAGTAAGGGTGAGGGGTGGAGGGGTAGCCAGGTGGCCAACATGATTGGTCAGCTTGGACTAGGTGTCCCTCGCTGATGCAGTCAGGAAGTTTTGGAGCCTTTTCCAGTGCAGGCACGTTGGTGGGCCATTGAGGTCATTCACCAAGGCCCTAGGTCCTAGGCTCCCAAACTTGGCTGATCATTGGGTTCATCTGGGGGTCTGTGATATCCAGGTGCCCAGGCTCTATTTGCAGCCCCAGAAATCAGAATCCCTAGAGGAGGAGCCCAGAGGCCCAGGAGCCCAGGCACCAGATCTCCAGGTGATTCCAGTCATCAGGCAAGTTTGAGAGCCGAGATTCTAGATCAGCAGTTCTCAACCTGTGAGTCTCGACCCCTTTGGGGGTTGAACGACCCTTTCACAGGGGTCGCCCGATTCATAACAGCAGGAAAATTACAGTTATGAAGTAGCAACGAAAATAATTTTATGGTTGAGGGGTGACCACAACATGAGGAACTATATCAAAGGCACTAGGAAGGTTGAGAACCACTGCTCTAGATCATAAGTTCTGAAACTTAGTTGGCCTTCCAACCCCTTTTCAGGAAAAAAAAAATTATTCAGTACCCTCTTGGCAGTTAAAAACGTTTGTACCCTAGCCCATCATCCAGAACAAAGTATAGGTTATCTGCTTTTGTAGTCCCCCTGGATCATTTCAGCACCACCCCCTGGGGGGCCGTGTCACCCGCATTGGGGAACACCTGTGCCTTGGGCTCAGAGAGGATTTGTCAGTGGGAAATACGCCCCACTTACTGCTCTCAAGTCCAGTCTGCCCCAAAGCAACCCTGTGGGACTGCACCATTGCGTTTCCCAAGCTGTACCTCCACAGAAGCAGCCTGCATCCTCTTTCCTCCTGTGAGATGGCTGGTGGGTTCGAATGGCTGGCCTTTTTGGTTAGCGACCCAATGCTTAACTCATCGCACCACCAGGGGTCCTTGTGAAAATACAGTAGATGCTAAACAGGTGAGTGCCCCAAAAGGTAAAAGTCCTGAATTAAATCATTTAGACCACTGCATTTAAATGTCTACCTGGCTCAACTTCCAGCCAAATAGACAAGCTGAGGTCTACACTCCTTAGTAGAGTCAATCATGGGAGATACAAAGAGCAGCAGCTCCCAGGACAAAGTTCCTAGGCTGGAAGGGACAGGACAGAAGGAGAAATGGAAACGACTAACACAGGAGGAGGGAAGCAGGCTGCACATTATGGAGACTTCAGTCAATGTCACAAAACAAAATGAGTGTGAATTGTTGAAGGGGAAACCAATTTGTTCAGTAAACTGTCACTCAAATCACAGTAAATAAAAACATAAAAAATCCGATTTCCCTTGGCATCCCTTTTAGCACGCGTATGAACTGTGGGAGGCTTTCCCATTATTGCTATATAATTGCAAGGATATCTACCACTGGTGCACTTTCTTTTAAATCAAATTATTGAGCATTTGGGAGGCAGGTTAATTTTTTTGCATATGAAGAAAGCATGCATTGCTAGAGAAAATCTCATTTTGGTTTGTTAGATTCCTCAGTTGGTTTTTAAAATGAGTTTTTATTAGGCAATATTTTATAGCTGCAAAAGACTGATTATCAAAGATACACTGCGTTAAGCTATTATAAAGCAAACACACTCGTACATCTTCCACATGAGGAAATGGAACACAGCGATTTTGAATTTTCTGCTTATTAATCCCGTGGTTTTCTGCATAGCCTTTGTTACTTATGTTACTCCTTAACAGTGTGTTGTAAAGGTTTGTGTTGGGGGTTTTATAGAAATGCTTTCTGTCCCAAACGGCACTCTGTCCCACTCAGCAAGCCCTCTTTCACCTGGGCTCTAGGAGTCATTGCAGTGACCGCACAGCACCCAAAGGCAGCGCTCATGGTTGCAGGGTTCACTGTGGATGTTAACAGGCTACAAGTTAGGTGGAAATGCTCGAAATAGAGTTGTTCTGTCAAGACATGTTAGAGTTCTTTTAGTTCTAACAGCTAAATGTTTCCACCCGAAGGTACCCGACTCCCCTCATTAAGTGCCCAAGGGCCCCCACCTGCCCCGCAGCACTCAGCCTTACTTATTTTGTGCGCTGGGAGTCCAGCGCTCTGGCTCAGGCTCAGGCTCTGGTTCTACAACTGCCCCTGCTGTGCCTATCTGGCGTCACAGCTGTCCCCTGGGCCGAGGAGGTTCAGTGTCCTCAAGGACGCACTTCTCTCGTGTGTGTGTGTGTGTGTGTGTGTGTGTGTGTGTGTGTGTTTCAATGCGCTCCTCTCACTCACAGCTGAACAGTGTAACCAGGCCCATCAGGAAAAGGTCATTGGGTGGGAGTGATGGGCACTGTGCTTAGAGGAACCCCGTTAAATAATTCACTGCCCTGCAACATGATATTGAAACTGGGGGTTTCAGAAATTTTATTTCCCACTCAACTTTTTAGTTTTGAGGTTTATACATGGTGCTACGTGAAACTGGGCTCCCTTTTCCAGGTGTTGCAGTCTTCCATTATAGAATCTATCACAGTTCAGCCTTTCTTCTGTCATTCGGCAAGGAGCCCTGGGGCGTCGTGGTTATGAGCTGGGCTGCTAGTCGCAAGGTCAGCAGTTTGAAACCACCTGCAGGGGCGGTTCCACCCCGTCCTCTAGGATTGCTGTCAGTCGGCATGGACCTGATGGCAGTGAGTTTGGTTTGGTTTGGTTTGGGTCTATGATTAGGCAAGTGAGTTGGTTCCAATTTTTGCTATTGCAAATAATCCTGCTATGAACATTGTTGTACATTCTGCCTCTCCTAGTCTTTAGAAGGGGAAGAAGGTCCCGTTGTGTCATTTAGACACTGTTTAACCTTGCTCATCATTGTATGAGTAGTTTGTGCATCAGATCGCGATGGGTTGGAACTGACTCAATGGCGCCTAACACCAACAACAATTAGCAGCTATTCCTACCCATTCACTTTCACACGCATATGTTCACACCTGTATCTTGCCATTGGTCATTTTTATTCTTTTTAATATTGATATTTTAAAACTTTTAGAAGTTTTAGGTTTATAGAACAATTGTGCAGAAGGTATAGAGCAGTGGTTCTCAACCTTCCTCATGCTGCAACTCTTTAATACAGTTCCTCATGTTGTGGTAAAATTATTTTCATTGCTACTTCATAACTGACATTTGACTACTGTTATGAATCAGGCGATCCCTGTGAAAGGGTTGTTTGACCCCCAAAAGGGTCGCAACCCACAGGTTGAGAACTGCTGGTATAGAGGGTTTTCATAATATCTTTCTTCCTTCTCCACTCCCTACCAAATTCCAAGCCAAACTCACTGCTATCCAGTCAATTGCAACTCACAGCAAACCCTGTCGGACAGGGTAAACTGTTCCTGTAGATTTCTGAGACGATACATTTTTAGAGAAGTGGAAAACTTTATTTTTCTCCCTTGGAATGCCTGATGGTTTCGAACCACTAACCTTGTGTCTCTAGCAGCCCACTGCTGTGACCCACTATGTCACCAGGGCTCCTCTCTACCACCTGCAGTTTCCTTTATTAGCATCTTGAATTAGTAAAGTCCAGTTGTTAGAATCGATGAACCAATATGCATACATTATTATTGACAATTGAAGTCCTTGGCTTACAGGAGGGTTCATGCATTGTGTATTGGACAGTCCATTAGGAGCTCTGTTGGTATCCTGGATTAAGCATGGGGCTGCCAACCAGAGGGTTGGTAGTTCAAACCCAACAACTGCTCTGGGGGAGAAAGAAGTGGCAGTTAGCTTCCAGAAAGATTTGCAGCCCCAGGAGCCCACAGGAGCAGTGCTGCCCTGCCCTGGAGATCTCTGGGGGGTAAAGTGGACTCAATGACAACAGTCGTTGGGTGTTTTGCTTGTTTTCATAATTAAAATAGGATTTCGGGGGGTTTTTTTGGTGAAAGGTTATATAGCAAGTTAGGCTCCCATGTGACAAATTCCACACAAATTGATCAGTGACATTAGTTACATTTCCCAACCCATTTTTTAATCTGTCTTCAAGCTGAGAGAATCATTTCCTAGCTAGCTGTGCTGATCTAAAATGAATTTTCAGTGATGGGCATGAAACCTGTGAGTATTTTCTCTCCATGTGTGCACATCTCGGAGCAGGGAAATGATCATTCAGAGGCCTGGGCTCAAGCTCTTGTCAAGCTTTGAAACACAGGGGAAGTTACTCCACATCTGTTTCATTGATTCATCACTAGGCTGAAACCACCCCAGAAGCAGAAAGGCTTAAAATAACAACGTTGAATAGCATCTCATGATTCTGTGAGCTGATCAGGTGGCTGGGTGCTGGCTGGAGTCATTTATTTGGCAGCATTCAGCTGGGAATTGGGTTGAGGTGCTAGGTTTTTCCTTCACGTCGCCTCTGTCCCCACGTGGCCCATCTCACAGGGCCTCACAGGGTCATCTTTCCT